GGCCCCATGACGCCAGAAATAGCCACAGTTTATGACGCTGGGAGATTTCTGACAGCCGGCCCCATGATGCCAGAAATAGCCACAGTTTATGACGCTGGGAGATTTCTGACAGCCGGCCCCATTGGGTTAAGAGAGAATAATTCACAGAATGGGTTACTCCTCAAGACCCCTTCATCGAACCTGCACTCTCTGTGGAATATCACATGCGTAAATGAGATCTTCCTATCCTCGTTGTTCATTAGTATTCTACGTGGTGAGTTTAACCTATGGCATTAACGCAAGTCCAGTCGGCACATTTGAATCAGATCAAGTATTGGCAGATGATATTAAAATGAAATGCAAGTTTAATTATAATAAAAAAGAAAAAGAAAACATGTATATATAAAACCAAGTTCATGTATTCGTAAGAACATTACAGGCAATAACGGCATAAATTTTATTCACTGGTTCATTTTTTTCCCATCAGCTTATTAAGTGAACAAAAGAGACAGAAAAAAAATCGTACTCATCATAATCACTACTTGCTACAACAAAAAGTCTTTAAAATTAAGACACACATAACAACAACATAAAAAGAAAAAAAAAAAAAAAAAAAAAAAATATGAAAGAGAATCTATGTACATGTAAAAAGATTTGATATAGCACCATCCGCGAGCGCACAACAACTTTCCTCCAATTATTTTCTTATTCCTGCTTGCCTTTTTTCCAATCTTTTCTGTTCTCTCTTCCTCTCTTTCTGTTCCTCTCTTTCACTCTATCCCATGTGCAAAGATCATGACCAGGCCAGGGTCTAAGAGCATGTCATCGTTCATGTGGCGGTTATCACAAGCCATGACTACCACCGCCTGCTTGCCCGGGACTCGCTTGCACACGTAGCTCTCGTAGTGGCGGCGGTTCATCTGCAGGAAGGAACAGAACATTGGGAAAATACTGTCTCTTGATACATGGTAACAGCCAAACTGTTTTCCGAGGGTAAAGACAGAGTGTTGCCGTGCAAATGAATAACTAATATCTCTCTATGAAAAAGACAATGTAGATTTTAAAATATACAAAAACTTTCGAGAAAACAGTAATCAACCAGAATGTAAATATCAAAACATCAACACACACACACACACACACAAGAACAGGCCATAAAAAACTTCTCTCTGGTACACACTACCTGTCTGGTCTCCAACGTTGACAACCCTGGCGGCCATCGCCTCTCATGCGCATTCTCCATCAGCTGATCGATTATGTGAGGAGGGCACCCAGATTCACTCAGGGCTCGACGGATCACAGCCTGCAACGGGATCAGCAATTCAAGCTTGGGGTTTCATCCAACATACACACATGCAATATCATAAACTCCCATAGAAACACACACAACAGCATAAACAGAGACAAATATAAGGTGGATTGTTTTTATTGAACCCATTGCTACCGGGAACATGTAATGTCCACTGCAGTCTTATATCACGAAATGTGTTTACAAACTGAAGGCTCTCCAACTGCTCAGGCACCAGGGAGTCAATTAGTAGACCTGTGACACCTCACCTGATTTCCCTTTCCCTCGAGTTTTCAGAAGAAAAAAAATTCTAATGCTATCAGTAGTGATTCTGATATTATTGACATAATTATTATATAATGTTATCAACAACACTAATAACAATATAAGAGTATATTTCAAAAAATCAAGAAGAAGGATAAACAAGTGACATAAGCTGTACGAAAAATTATCTCCTTGGTGACTGAGCACTTGTTGAGCCTTCTATGCTTACACACAATTAATAAACTGAAATCACAGTTGGCATAACATATATGTAGCGTAGTTCGAAGCAAAACGAGTCAGTGGGGTAAAATAGGTCAATATCAAAAAAGACCGATAAAAATGACCTAAGGATACGAAAGCACGCATGCTACCATGGTGATAGTAGCATGCATGCTCTCGTATCCCACAATGTCTAAGGTTGTTTTTATCGGTCTTTTTTGATAATGACCCATCTTACCCCACTGACTCTTTTTGCCCCAAACTACCCTACATGCCATCACCAGTGGCAATCAGGTTAAAAACAAGTAGGCACAACCATAAGTTCAAAAGCAGAAAATACAGACAAACAGAAGGACAAAGATATTGGTACATTCCTCTAAATAACACTTCATTTACCATCATATTCTAAGGCAACATGAAGCATTTGTTCCCATACATCAGCAACAGGACAAGCATGTGAAGACTTTAACCATCACAAAATAACTCAGCAATTGTAAGTAAAAAGAGTTAATGGGTCAAATAATATAAATATAATCAATGTCCACCTATCATAACTGCTCAGTCACCCAATTATCATCAAATTCATTAATTTCAAGAAAATCTGCTTAAACAATCTGTTTGAAAATGCAACCTCCCAAACTCTTGTGATCAAGCTATTTTTTTGTTCACTGTCATAACAGTAGTGCAATAAACTCATTACAATATCTAATCTCATGATCTTATTTTGTCCCTTTTCTTCAGTCTTATAATAAAAATTTTATTTGGAAGGTTTCAGCCACTACTATCCATATATATAATGTAATATAACACAAGTTATGAAAACAAGTCTTAAACAGTATTACTGTTTCCCAATCACAACCAAAGTAGGTCTGATTCAGAAACAAAAGAGGTCTTAAATAAGAAGAAAGACATGTGTTTCAGTCACAAGCAACACAACTAGGCCTCAGGCACAATGTCAAAACGGTAATGATAAACCACAATTCCAGACAATAAAAGCATATCTCCATCACAAAGAGCAAAAATGACAAATTGGTTGAGCTCACCTAAATCACAAACAGCATAGTCATGGCTAGCAAATGGGCACACCAATCAATCAATCATAACAGTACAAATATACAGATTACAACATTATATCGTAATATGACATAATCAAATACAAGGATGTATAACATAATATGATACAAACTTATACCTACCAAAAGGTGGCAGCACTCTAATGCCCTCTCCCACTCCCTCTCCCTCTGCCTCCCCCTCTGCCTCTGCCTCTCCCTCTCCCTATCCCACAGAGGTCATACCTGTAGCATGGCATCAGGTGTGGAGATCATCCCTCCCCAGCGCGTAACTCGAGCACGTGCAAGAGAGCTCGCCCACCTGGCCACTTCATCCTGCTCCATTTGGTCAGCAATCGCTCTCATCTGCGGGTTGCTGATGCGCATGGCTCGCATGAAATCCTGAAAGGCAGTTGTTTTTCATAAGAAAAAGAGAAAAAGAAAAAGAAAAAAAAAAGGCCCATGATTTACAATAATTCTACAATATTGCTTTGATTTTAAACAATTATGATACAGGATTTTCCAAATTAAATTCATTCTTCTCAAATTTTCTGTGTAAAATACTCAGGACTGTATAGGTGCAGCAAAATCTGTAACAAAAGAACAATGCAATTTATTCACAAAAAAAAAACTTTTAACTTTAATCTCCAATCCAGATCTGCTTTGAACTCTTGACAACTATTTCAGATCCATTTTCACCTAACCACAGCAATACAACAAAAAAATAAAAAAGAAGTAGAAGAAGAAGAAGAAGAAGAAGAAGCAAGAAAACGGCACCCTTGGGCAACAGCACAGAGTGACGAGGAGGCCACGCACTAGTCCCCCAAGTTGTCCACCGCATCTGCAACATTTGGAATGCCAAACAGGCTTTATAAGGTTCTCTACGCATTGCAATATGTACATTTATTAAGGTTTAATCATACCTTTAAGAGCTGTATTTCCCTCTTTTGTTCATTGAGCTGGTATTTGTTTTCCGCAAGTTCCTGCTGCAACTCGGCAATTTTCCCGGACTGATTTTGTATTAAGGTGCGCAACTCTCTAAGGCAGTTGTGATCCTGTCAGGGATATAATAAAAGATTATAATCTAAAACAAACTTTCTTCATAATGTTTTACCATGTATGTATATAAGTATTTTATGTATATATGTGTATATGTATGTGTGTGTATATATATATATATATATATATATATATATATATATATATATATATATATATATATATATATATATATATGTATGTATGTATGTATGTATGTATGTATATGTATATGTATATGTATATGTATGTGTATGTGTATGTGTATATGTATATATATATATATATATATATATATATATATATATATATATATATACATATATACATATATACATACATACATACATACATACGTACATACGTACATACGTACATACGTACATACGTACATACGTACATACGTACATACGTACATATGTACATACATACATACATACATACATATGTACATACATACATACATATATACATACATACATACATATATACATACATGTATATATTTGTATATACATACATGTATATATTTGTATATACATATATATGTATATATGTATATATACATATGTATACATATATATATATGTATATGTATATATAAATATATATATATATACATTTGTGTATATATATGTATATATACATATGTATACATATAAATGTATATATGCATATATATATATACATGTGTGAATATATATATATGTACATGTATATATATGTATATACATGAAAACCATTGAAAACCTGAGTATTAGTAATCCCAGGCATTTAGGGTACCTTTAACTCGTCCTTTGGTACGACTAGGCCGCATCCTTGCTCGCATGGCACGGGTCTCTTGGGGTTGAACTCGCACTCCTCCAGGTGAGACGTCAGTGCATCCAGCTTCACCACAGAGGCACATCCATGAGGCTTGTTGTCGCAGGATATGTACAGTCTAGGGGGGAGGGGGGGAAGAGGAGCGAGTATGAGAGGCAAGACAGAAATGGTGTCGCTTAACCCCTTGGTGCCGGGTAACGCTGATCGGCGTGTAAACAAAGAGCTCGTAAGCTGGCATGCAGCCGAACAAGCCGGCGGCGCGCCAAAGCGCGGCAAGCCAGTGATTCGGGCTGATGTCCCCTACTCACGCGCTCAAAGTCGGCGCGCCGCCTTTGTTTGTT